ATATAATGTACTTTCCCGACACTGAATTTAATATGGAGAAAACACTGTTTACATGTTACTTGTATCATGAGGGTGTCTCATAGAGCCTATGCCGGACTTTAACTTCACGAAGCTTTGCCGACAGAGCCATAGTGATCTAGCCGCTTAATTTTTACCGTCTCGTGAGTATCTCCAAGTAGGTCGAAATTACTTTTATCTAGTCATTACAAGCGATCATAAAGGCAGATATATTTCTATTCATCATGTCTCATGATAACATAAATTCTGCATTAGAGCTCCATCAAATTTTCGAGAATTTTAGATGGTTTTCCTTGCAGTAAAAGGTGGCAGAATCTCATATTAACATGGCCATGTGCCCGCCCCCACCCCCAATAACTATCAGAGTTTCATAAAACACGGTTTACTCATCATGTTACTGAATGTTACATCATCATCAATGGACTAAAAGGCGTTATATCATAGAAGACAGAATCCTTCACAACGGCCGATGTGAGAATCTTGAATCCTACAGTGCCCCATCCCCATAGATTTCTTGTTCCCGTGTTCCGTAGCTGTCTATTGTCCATATTCTTGAGTACTGTTGCGTCGCTTTTTACTCGTAAATTTCTACTGGCTCTTGTTCTTTTGGTAGCCTCAGATGATGAATAACATTACGCCTACAACATGTTGCTTAGATTACATGCATCACGGAAATGATAGAGAAGTTGCCGCACTGGCTAGGCGAACTGCCCCATACTTCATGATTTTAATGCAGTTCAAGTTTCACAATAATATCTAACTTTCAATTTGTCCAAATAAAATGTACACTTTGTATGTTAATATCTCTTGACACACCGACTGCACATTATATTTGCACACATTCAACACTTACTTATTTTACCATAAACTAAAAGTGGGAATGTGGTTATTTATTAAGCTGTAAATATCAGTCAATAGAATATTCACAAAAAAGTCTAACATTATTTCTGACTTACAGAATTTCTCTCTCTAGAGTTTTCCATTAGCGATCACCGCAGAAGAGCGCCATCCAGCCTCCGAATAACAATAATTGCTCGTGCGTAATCTAAACACACGTGCAGTAGTGTTGCATCCTGATTGTGACGCTTTCAAATAGAAGTGAATGAGTTACCGTCAAACAAACCATTGTTTTTATGTATTCCTCTCACAACATGCTACGGCTTACATAAACCATCATCTGGTGATTCGTCAGGAATATACAACGATGACGAAATACATATACGAGTAAAAATACAATAAATAGTTTAGTTGAATTAGGTCGGATACTACTTATTGCCATATACTCACTAGATTCTAAAACCAAAAATAGACATAAACATATTAAACTAAAAAATAAAAAAAGAAATGATGTAAGGATAATATCACTGTAAAGGATACGGAGGCATTCCAAAGTGGGGGGAAGGGAACATTGGGGAATTTTAGAAAATATTGGGTATAAGGTGGGTAAGTATAACCCGGGGAGGTGTGTTTGGGTTGCAGTGTATTATACGATAAAAGGGCAGTAAATAAGTTACAAACGGAAGTAAAACAGATTTAATGAACGTTTTAGGTTTTCAGTGTGCATCAGTAGGCAGCACAGTCCAGCTTCATGACAGCCGGCACGGCGGAGTTTAAGTTAATGAGAGGGCCGACTCGGAGGCAAAGCAATTAGTCACAGAAGGTCGAGATGATCAATTACTATTGCCAGTGGCAGATCTTAAAACCCAGTGGAAACAGAAAGGAAAGAAGAACTTCACAGTTTCTGTCAAAACATCCAACGGGAAAGAAGAAAGCTACTTCGAAAAGTATTACAGGTTCCGTGAGACAGAAATGAACTTTCGAGCCTTCGTGTCAATAAACCGTATGAGAGCAGGCCACTGCAGTCTTAAAACAAACCTAAACAGATTTAACATTGTGTCCACGGCCGACTGCAAATGTAATGGTGGGCTGCAAACGGAGTAACGTATCTTCTGGGATTGTAAATGGTACGAGGGCCAACGACCAACAGTGATGGACATTCTGTCTGAGAGCAGCAAAAAGGAATACCCAAGTTAGTTAAAGAGCTTTTAAGGTTAGAAGCAAAAAGATTTGTGCAAGGCGTCTCTTACTTCATAAACAGAATTTCTATATTTATTTTAAAAAATATATGTAAGAAAATGAAGAGAAGTAAAGTAAAGTGAAGTAAAGGTATCCCTGTAACAGGCCATGGAGGTCCATAGGGTTCTGAGACGTTGAGGTTCCCACATTTTTTTCTAGACAATGGGCTCATAGATGGCGGCAAGGCTGTCAGCCCTAGGCGCCGGCCGCCCTTTATCCCCAAGCATATTCCAAGAATATTCCTGGTACTCAATTCTGTTAGAGGCTGAGTCGACCCCAGGGCCATAGTGCGGCTGGAAGGCTTAGGTCAATTGAAAAAAATCCAATGACCTCATCTGGACTTGAACCCGCGACCTTCCGGCTTGTAGCATAGTGTCTCAACCAACTACGCTACAGTGTGCCCCCAGTGAAGAGAATTAGGTGTACAAAATAATAATAGTATACTCTCAGATTTAAGTTAAGATATACAGATATGAAGAATCGAGTGGAAACCGCTGTATAGAATAAGATGTTTACAAGAATGTGCTACAGAGAGCCGGGATAGGCGCTGCCTAGGACTTTTTTGAATCTACAATTATTTTTCACAACAAAAAAGCCTGGGATCAGACGTGCATGCGCATGTTCAGAGGCTAGTTTCAGTAGTGAAAATGACGGCCGTAGTTGAGGAGTGTATTAGCGAAGAGCAGCTTTCTATTGTGCGTACTTTGTGGGCAATAGGACTCAATACAAAAAATATTCACAAAGAAAAGTATCATGTTTACAGTGGGAAGTGTTTGTCGCTTAAAGCCGTTCACAACTGGATAGAGAAATTCTCTCAATGGCGTTCGAAAGTCGCAGATTGTGTCCTATCAGGTTGCCCTGTTGAGATTGTGACAGACGCATCTGTGCAGCAGGTAGAAGAGTTGATTCGAGCTGACAGGAGGATAACAACAGTCAGTGTAGCAACTGCACTAGAGTGTACGCATGGATTAGCATACAGCATAATACAAGATCATTTGAAGTTCGGAAAGTGTGTGCACGGTGGGTTCTGCGAGAACTGAAGGATCGAGAAAAATTAACCGAACGGGTCTGTCCTTGCAACATCTCTTACGGTATGTAGATGAAGGAGAAAATATGCCGAATAGTATTGTTACTGAGGACGGATCATGCGTACGTCACTATTAACCCGAATCAAAGCCTGGCTCAATAGAATTAAAATATCCCAGTTCACCTTCAACCAAAACGTTTAAGGTTACGCCATCAGCTGAGAAAGTTATGCTTACTGTGTTTTGGGATACAGCCCGAGCAACCCAGGATAGAATTCAACAACTACAGTGGACTACTTGAACATCAGCCTTACAACCCGGACTTGGCCCCTAGTGACTCCCATCTGTTTGGTCCGCTAAAAACGCCTTGGTTGCAAACGTTTCGCTGATGAGGTGCGGAAGTGGTTGAGACAACATTCAAAAGACTTCTACGAGTATGCTGCGGTTTTCGACGCACTGGTAAAACGATGGGACAAGTGTATCAATGTTGGTGGAGGATATGTCGGGAAATAAGTGCTTTTCAAGGTTCAAATGTCACCTTTTTCGTTTTATATCCATTTGTGACCTATTTGCTGACTCTCCCTCATATTATGAGGCCTGGTTTTGGTAGATGTTCTGTTGCTCTTTCGGTTTGTTGAGTATGTCGCAGGGGTGTTGTATCATTTTCTTTGTAGATGTTTATTTTGGTGGCCCTTTCTTGCGTTCTGCTATTGTCTGAGTTGGGCCGGGGTGCAGAATAATATATGTGAAGTTTAGAAAGCAGTTCCCTCTTGTGGAAGGTATGTCACAACCATGCTGGTATTATTCATGGTACGAAATTTAAAATTAGCTGGTATGGCTTACTGATAGGATAATGTACAAACAATGTTTTATGAAATTCCGTCATTTGATTCGAAAGTTATTTCCTCGAAGGTGGGGGGGGGGCGGTCATCATAAATTTATTCTTCCTTCTCAAATGCATAGCTAAAATGAGCTGAGACACAAGAAATCTGTTGTAAGGCCCATAAGAATTGTGACGTTCCGAAGGCAAATGGTACTAGTGGCGCTGCCGTGGGTATGACGAGTCTACTGGAAGCAAGAGTGCTCATGACGTCACAGATTGCTTTGATTCTTTGGGAGAACTAATACGAGCTGTTATATCGTGACTGATCGTGACTATGTCGTCACCTAGGCTATACTATTTAAATATTTATACGCAAAGTACTGCCTCGTCATTTTTATCTGTAGAAACTGAGAAAAACAGGGGAAAACCGGAATTAGGGCGGCTGATATTTGAATCAAGTACCTACTAAATACAAGTCTACATCATGGTTCCTTTGTAATTAGCAGACATTATTAATAACGACTCTTCAATTTGATTAGATTTTTAGGTTCTTGTACGACCTCTAAAAACTGCATAGATTATGTAATATCGAATGACTGAATGAATGTATGAATTGTGAAAGGTATATAGAAATCGTAGGCTACTTTAAGGTTATATCCCAGCATTTTCTTGGAGATCCTGAGAAGAATGTCGAAGAATCATTGGTAGTACGACCGTCTCTGAGCTGAAATTCACACCCGGAACCTCCCGAACACAAAACAGGAGCACTGACTATTCGCGATTTACGACACTTCGTCTCTAGTTCCCAGGATGCCTATTCCCGATTTACGATACTTCGTCTCTACTTCTCGGGATGCCATTTGTCATCTTTGTATATTACCGGCAATCCTTAGCCGCAGAGATATTCAGCATAGTCCGGGCGGTGGTACGTATAACCAACGGTAATAGCAGCAGTCGTGCGCTCGCGCACACGATGCGCGTGCCCTGCCTCTTCTCCCCACCACTGCCCTGGCGGAGAAAACCTGAACTAGAAGGGAGAACTCGTTGACAAGTGACAAGCGAGGAGAAGCTGGCAGAGTGAGCTAGGCTCGCAAGGGAGTTTACAGCTTTGGCGGGCTGTGGTTGTGGTTAGGGTTATGCTTGTTCTTCAAGGAACGGGAACACGTGGTTTTTATTTGCGTTCAGAATACAGAAACTAGAACTTTCAAAACTCATTATAAGAGGTGTAGTTGTGAGTTAATTTTAACAGCTGGACAATTTCTTTCTGTGTTTGCCGATTCCTACGTAATCGTACTTGAACTTCGAATGCAAAAGGATACATGCACGTTGATGACATTTTACTGTTTCCCGTAGTTTTGTGCACCTTAATGTTTCACACGAAAATCCCAACGGATTCAGGAATGCCGTAATACAACAGAATCTACTGAAGTTTTACGTAAGTCCACTTTGTTTTACATGAAGTTTGATTTGAAATATGAACTTGAGTGCGTTGATGTCTTGAATAATATCATCAGAAACGAGAATAACATTTAAAAAATATTGTATAGTATGGTGATGAGTACTTCAGTATCTTTCGCACACAGTCACAAGCGAAGCGAATGCTAACATTTTCGCTTTACGTGCCCCTACCAAATTCACTGCTAGTATAATGTACCCTAAATTAAATTTAAATGTAACTGACCAAATCAAATTTAACCCGTAACTGGATTTGGATTGTTAAAGAAATATATATATTTAAATTTGCTAATATACTGCACAAGTTCTTGAGCTACACAACTGGCGGCTTCTCAAGCAGGCTCAGCTCCCTACCGCGCAATTCTACCCATATACTATAATGTATCCGTTTCGTTAAAGTAACATAGGTACGTAGCCATTGGTCACGCATGTTGTACAGGTATGATTAAAATTTTCTAAAACAAAGCTGAATCTCATTAGAAGTTTTGTAGAATCAAGTACTCATTAAACTATGCAATCCAGTCATTCTGCAATTTTTGATCGTGAATTTTTGCATAAAGTTGTTGAGCTTACGATATTGTTTTATAATTAACATGGTTGACTAGATATTCAGCATCCTGTCAAAATTAACCAACTTAGTTTTATCGTCAGATCGAGGATCTCTAGAAGTGTCGTGTTCGGTGTCTGTATTTTGTAGGATTTGAGGTTCTCACAGCGGTGGTTATGGAGAGTTATATCTTCTGGAATATAACGCCGTGTACTCCGTTGAAAGTCAACCGACGTTTCGGAAGAACATATCGCTTGCCACCTGCTTTCACTCTGGTATCTTACTCGGCTTATTCGACCCTGAAGATGGAAGCGATATGTTCCTCAGAAACGTCGGTGGGCCTTCAGCAGATTATACGGCGTTATATCTCATAAAATAGTACTCTTGAGTGTCTCTATTGTCTCTTATTGCTTTCAGTCGAAGTAAAAACAAAAGGTGGGGGGGGGGGCATTTCTGGAAAAAGTTTATGCTAGATGTATGCAACGTTACAGCATGAAGCCACTTATGCAAAGGCAAAAGGTAAAGTTGTCCCTGTACTAACTAATTAAGCATTACGCCATGAAGGCTTATTGGGGAGTGGATGTATAGATCCACATTTTCTTAACCTTTGCACTAACTTGAGGTGAGTGGTCAGCTACACACCCTAGCCGCTTTACCCCCGGGGGAAGAACCCCCGGCACCCATTGGATAGGAGGTTTGGTGAATCCCAGAGTCGGTCTGGACTACATTGAGAAGTGAAAATACTTGTTCCCACCGGGACTTGAACTCTGACCCCCCCCTGTCGTCCAGCCCATATCAAGTCGCTACGCTATCCCGGCTCCTGAAACCACTATGTTATAAAACAAAAATCAAAAGAAATACCTGCTGTTAAAATGAAGGGATAATGGATGTCGAAATAAGGATGTGTCTTGTTTTAACATAAAGGCTTGTTAGTTTATTTTCCGTCGAGTTATCGTGTCTCCCCCATATCACAACTGTGAAGCGACAGGCAATTTTCGTCGCTGCTTCTTGCCCCATATTCTTGTCCTCAAATAAACGATTTGGCTTGTAGCATAGCTGTCAGAGGACGATGTAGCAAGCAGCACGATTGCCAGTGCTTCGAGGCAGTGGTTGTAAAATGTGGTAGAACTGAAGGCTAGAGAATTTGAGCGACATGAGAAAGAAAAGGGACCGTAATTCGATATGGTAAAACCTACTTATGTCGGAATTCCAAGAAATCGAAAATCTTTTCTTTCTGAGACAGATTGCCGTTTAATACAAGTAATTATTTCTAAAGAGTTTCCAAAAGTGGGAGGCTCGGACCCGCAGAGGACCGTCAACTTTCGTCCAGGGTCTCAGAAAACCCTAGTGGTCTAATTGTCATACACATAAAGTCATAAGGAAAGGTCACATTACATTAAAACATAATGTATAACGTAAAAGAGTACTCCGTGGATATAATTAAACTTTATTAGAACCTAATTATAGATCTGAATTACTAAACTGCATCTTATAAGATAAAGTAAAGGCAAGAAACTATCTCTGTGACAGGCCGTGGAAGCCCATAGGTTTGTGAGACGTCGAGGTTCCCACATTTTCTAGACAGTCGGCTCACAGGTGGCGGTAAGGTTGAGAAGCCTCAAATAAATTTAGTCACATCACGGGAGCCAGAGATTAAAAGAGTTTAAAAGCCACTATGCTACTGGATATATCGTGACAACATCCCAGTACATAGTCAAGTATTTACTAATTTATTAAGTACATAACTTGTTATGCACATTTCACTTTGGATAGCGTAGTTGGTATAGCGACTGGCTACGAGCGGGACGACCGAGCAGTCGGAGTTCCGAGTCCCGGTAGGGTCAAGAATTCTCTCTTCTCCACGTCGTCCAGACCGGCTCTGGGGTCTACCCAACCGCCTATCCAATGGTTACCATGGGTTCTTTCACCGGGTAAAGCGGCAGAGGCGTGAAGCTGACCACTCACCTCCAGCTACTATTGAGGTCAAGAAGATGGGGATCTATATATCCACTCCTCCATACACCTACATGGCTAATTAGTTAAGTACAGGGAGAATTTTACCTTTACCTTAACCTGTACCAAATTCTTTTATTTGTTTCTTCTCCTCTATCTTCCTCGTTCTTCATTTCTGCTTTCCTTTCTGCTCCTTCCGTTTGTTCCTTCCTTTATACGAGTCATACATAGAAAGCATACAAAATGATTAAGTAGGTGTAATGGGGACATTGGGCCTGTCCGTAAGATAAGCTATGTTAAAGTGTACTTTTATCTTAATTATATAGGCATGGAACCCTGTATCTCTTCCTAAGGAGAGAACATTTTATTTTATTGCTAGTGGAGTGGAACTAAGTCGCTCGTACTGCGGCCACTTCTGGCCTATTGCACCAGCCCGAGATGATAGGTGAGGGTAATTGTGGAGCAATTGGTGGAATGAAGATTGGCAGGGGAAACCGAAGTACTCGGAGAAAACCTGCCCCAGCGCCACTTTGTCCACCACAAATCCCACTTGACCAGACCCGGGATCGAACCTGGGCCGCCGCGATGGGAAGCCAGCGACTAACCGCTTGAGCTATGACGCGGCCTAAGAAAAGAACATAGTTTGGGAATTTGTGAGAAAAGAGTGCTGAGGGGAACGCTTTAAGTATGCATACTGATGAGCTTCATATTTTGTATTTTTTGCCGATTTTTATGCTGTTCAGTTTGTGACGCTCTCAGTATCTCGTCCCACCTGTACTGTCTGTCGGCTGGTAGGATGACGAGCGAATGGTGAATTGGAAAGAATTTAAGAGTAAGCTGTTATGACCTAATTTAGATGAATATGACTATGAGGGGTGAGCCATAAAACTGGCCCTAGCCCTGCGACCTTCAATGGTCTATTGTGCTTTCCTAATTTAGATACTGCGCCGGCATTTTCCTGGAGGAGTTAAAAAAAAGACGAATACTCTCGAGTTATCTGGTGTCCCAACTGAGATTCAAGCCGAAGATCTCCCGCGTATAAATACGTGTATAGAGCGTTTCCACTACACCAGTCTACTCAGGTTTACCAGATACTCCTAAGGTTTATTACATCAAGGATGATGTAGTGGGCAAAGCATGTAGCAGGCACTGGAGCGTTGAGGAATGCATACAAATTGAAGTCGGAAAGCCTGAATGAAGAGAGCGCTTGGAATACCTAGGCGTAGAAGGGAATATATTATTAAAATGTAGCTTAAATATGATATGACGTTGTGGACGCTAGTCATGTGGTTCAGAACAGGTAATAGTGGAAAATTATCGTAAACATGGCAATGAGCCTTTAGTTGTCAAAAAAGACAAGAAATTTCATGGTTAATTAAGCGATTATTAGCTTCTGAAGTAGGACAGTGCTCCGCGGACTTGGTGTTTTTTCGTATATTTTATCTCCGAAACTGCTGAAAGTATTTCGATCAAATTTTATTCTTGTAGTGTACAGTAAACCATATTAGGAGAGTTTAATTTGGTGCGTACTGAGAAATTGTGAGTACTTCGTTATATGAAACCAAAATTAAACATCAGTAAGGGTCCTCAGAAGCTGCTTAGTTTAAAAGAGAGTAGCACGTACATGAACTCTAACTCCATGGAGTAGGGTTCTTCTTAAAACGCTAACAGTCATCTGTTTGGTTAATAATTCCCCCATCTGTTATGCAACCCGAAGGTTCATTAGTTTTCTCACAGAAGTCAGTATGATTTCAAAATGTTCTTTGAAACATTTTTCGAAGAGGTGAATATTTCGTGAAAGACATCTGAAGAGTTGTTTTCTTTGGGATATGACGTCGTGTATTCCGGTGAAATTTAACCGACGTTTCGGAGAAACATTGCCTCCATCTCTTAGGGTCAAGAAATATAAGCCAAGCAAGGCCGTGCTATAGCTCAGGCTGTTAGTCGCCGGCTTCCCACCGCGGCGGCCCAGGTTCAAGCCCAGGTCAGCGGCCGCAACGTATCCTGAAGGGAGCACATGAGCTTACCGCTAGTGTGAATCACCACACTCAAGGACAAACATACACGTAGATAAGACGTCTCAGCTGACAGGTATAGTGCGTGGACTACGCCAGAAGACCACACTTTTCTCGGGCCATTATCTGCGTAACCGTTCAACTTTGGACATAGGTGTTTTGGGTTATATCGGCATACTTTAACATAAGGAACACCCTCCCGAAGTTTGGCACATTCCTCCTGGGACACTCTGTAGATAATATAGTTCTTTATATGTATTTGCTCCCTTATACACAACAGATAAAATATAAAATCGTCCCTGTTGGATAAAGACATTTGGGGTTATGGTATACCTCCACGCGTTCTGAACTTCCGTACTATGAATTAATTGGTCAGTTTCACACCCCGGCCGCTGTAACTAAGTGTACAAAGTTCTCTGTTTCGCATTGGATAGGAGGATGATTGGGCTCGAGAGACGGTCTGGA